ATATGAGACATTTTGTCAGTTCTCGGAGCTGAGCTGAACTGTCTGAACAGTTCAGTTCAGTTCGGAGGAACTGGTCGAACAGTTCTGATGAGCTGAACTGAACTGTTCGAACAGTTCATCCGTTCGTTTCAGCCCAGTTCGTGAGCTGGAGCTGTCGTAGTCCTAGTCATGACTCGACTCCAAAGATCCATAGAATTGAATCATTTTAGGCTTTTTCTAGTCTTACGGAGATTTACTTGTATTAATGCTTGAAGCTCTTCTTTAAGTCTTTGTCGCCATTGTTCACCATCACGTGGACTAGCTTTAGTTTTTAATAATGGAATATTGGATAAAGTCTTTTTTGTTACTTCGTCAACCATCTGAAAAATATGAACCTTTATAAACTCGAAATATATACTTATTATATTAAATAAAAATCATATATTTTATTTTGTTTTTATAAAAATTTTACACCATCAGCACCATTCTCAGAAAATGTCGTAGCCTGACCACGTTTTTCAAGTTCATTTAGAATACGACGAAAAAGTTTCGGATCAATGTTATGAAATTCTATAATAAAAAATATTCTAGAAAAAACAGTTTTTTTTTGTAAATACAAAAAATTATACCAGCTGAACGTGTATCATCACCATGTAATAATTCATAGAATGTACATACAGTTCCATTCATTCCTCGTGATGTAATCTTTAATCAGAAAAAAAAAACAACAACAAAGAATAGAAAAAGAAAACTTCGAATAGAAAAAATAAATAATCTACCCATTGATAAATTGTTTTAGCCCATTCTTCAGGTGATTTCCAAAGTATTAAACAACGTCGTTTATTTTTATCTTCCCATTCAATATGACCTAAATTTTATTCAATAGAAAAATGATTAATTTTGTTTTTTGTCTAATTCTACCTCGACTACGTAATTCTTCAAGTAAAATTTGAATGAAATTATTATCTAATTGACCTAAAAGATAAATCAAATAGAAATTGAATATAAATACGTAATTAATAATACATACGATTGATTTTTGCATTGAAAAATGGTGGAAATTTACTAGCATCATTTACATCAAATGTACAAACCTTTTTCAAACGACAATAATCTAATATAAGTGAACACCAACCATCAAGTTGTTTACGACGTGTATCAAGATTTGGTTGAAGACTTCAATAAAAAAATATATAAGAAAAATTTAAAATTTTACATCCTATAAAATTTTATTATTAATTGTTTTCATACAGAGTGAACAGATAGTGATACATTGTCATTAAGAGTATGTGCTTTCAAAACTACGTGTTCACCCTTGTGAAACTTAAAATCATTTTTCCAAAAGAGAAAATTTGGATAGAACACAGGTTTCTCAACTTATCGAGATATATAATAATGTTTTGAGATCTATTTTAAATATAATGAATATGTACAATAGGCGTATTTGTCAATTAAATCAATGATTAGAATGATAACGAGCTATCGAAAAGTAATTTGACCAAATGTTCGTTCCTCTTAAATAAGTCTGTAGAAATTTGAAAACATCGGATGAATATCAGAATTTTATGTTCTTTTCGAATATGACTACGCAACTTTTATAGGACTTTTGATTTAACAATTATGAATTGATTTTGGATGAACTTCCGTGCGCCAAAATTTATTCAAAGCGGAAACGAATATTATTTCAAATACAAACCGAAATAATGAGTACGGATACTAAAACACGCAAAAAAATGTAGAGAAGTATGAATGTTAGTCTAGCATACGTCCAAGCTCAATAACAGAATTTCAATATTTTAAAATGATCTTTCAAGTACAGTAAATGAAAGAGCAAACAGTTCTTTATAAAATTGTATACTAAGGACTTTGTAGGGTACACCGTGCCAATCGAAGTAGTTTTCTCGATTTCTATGGAAAGTAGAGTTGCGAACTGAACTCGAGTAAAAGACCGACTCATAACTGTTGAACCACATCCTCTTAGAAAAATATTGAACAATTATTCAGAAATAATAAAAAAATTTTAATGTAAACTCAATCCTGTGAAACTTCTACAGAGTTCTTTAGGAGAAAAGAATATTTTCTTCAATTATTTTTCACTCACATATACAATAAACTATCGTCTAGCTAAAAGTATAATAACTCAAGAATGGAGAGAGTTAGAGAATTGCAACTTTCACCATTTAACAGAGAAGACCTGCGGTCATCAAAGTACATTCAAATTTGATCAGTCAGCATTATACCAATTAAAAGAATTCTCGAAGAATATTTTCGAAATGCTATTCTGAAGCTATTTTTCGAGTCTAAAATCAATCATCACCATTCGACTCAGCACAGGAAATTATGTTTGTCTAGCTGTTTCTCTGAACAATCATAAGTCAATTGACTAAAATCAGTCACATCTATTATATTTTTGAACGAATAAATCATAACAAAAGCTTTTCGAAACTTAATTTTACTATAAATTAAAGTAAACATTAAAAATACGAAAATTCATTCGTTATCATAAGATAAATTTGAACATTTTCATCTTTCTTCGAATATTATCTACTTACGTAAAAAATGGTGGAAAATCATGATACCATGATAGATCAGAAATTTTAGTTGATGTCATTTTTTTTTTTTTCTATTCTAAGAAAATCTACAAGAGAAAAAAAAACAAAAACAATAACAATCGATGATTTTTATTAATGATAATTTTTTTTTTTCAACAACGAAAAAACATTTTATGTTAATGCATCTTCATTTCGAAGAAATTCACCAACATCAGCTTGGTGAAAAACAACTAAAGCCATTGGATCAGTTGCTCGACATTCAATTGTTGATTTTGCCGCTACACCAAACCCCTAGACACACACACACAAAAACAAACAATTATTGAACGAAACAAAAAAAATTTATACTTACTAATGGTACATCATTCATTGTGTACACAATAACACCATGATATTTTGGTGTATTTTCTGTAATACGTCCTAAGCCGGATTTAACAACATTATGTCCATAAAGAAATTGTTGTTCAGCATTTGGTTTAAGCCATACTTTAAACTATTCAATAAAATATATTTAAAACAAACGCTAGTTTTTTTCTTTCGTTTTACTTTTGCATATGGAGCAATAAAATCAAGTGCTGTTATATGTAAACGAAATTTACGTGTTTTAGTAAAACGACCAAAACAAGTACCAAAACTGAGTAATTCTTTTCGAGGAAAATTACTGGCATATTTTATAATCGCTTCACTAAAGAACAAGAAATTAAAATTTCAGTTTAGATTAAAAAATTTTTTCTAATGTATTTATTCTAATCAAACCTGCAATAATAAACACGTTCACGATGTAAACGAAATGTATAAAGTCCATCAGGACGTTCTAATAACATGCGAACATTATCACCAATACTAAATTTTGCCAAATTTTTTTTTTTATGTAAAATACATATATATATGGGAGTGCCCAACTTGAAGGATACCCCATTTTGATACACTCCTATTGTAAGGATAAAACATACTATTGTTC